ACCAGTCTAAATGAAAGAATATGACTACTACGCATACAGCACAATTGATAATATATATCTCTAGAAAGTCTTTCTGAAGATAAGATAAAAAGAGCTTTTCTTTAGTGTTCTCTTCTTTTTAATAAGAATACGGGTGTTCTTTGTTTTTAGCAATCAGATTTATATTAAACTTTGTTTGTTTTATATATTTTTTTAATTTAATGTAATTTTAATTAGATTTAACTGTTAAAAAAATAAAAAACACCTATATTCTAAAAGTGAAGAAACATGGGAAAACTCCCTAGGATAAAAAGAAAAGTTGTAGATTAAGTAAAAGCTAATATTATTATTTTTGTTATTTCCAATTATCAAAATCAGTTTCAAGGTAAAGGTGCTTTGTCTAGTAATGCTTCAGCTGATCCAAGGTAGTGGACTAGGTAGGATAGAGAGTATTAAATTTATGGACCAAAAAGGTACTTTGTTTTAGTGAGTACTGTTTGAGTTTTATTCAAGACAGAGATTTATTTATATGCATGGGGTTTTATGTGAATAGTACTTTTGAAATTATTAGCTCTCATTTAGTTTGTCGATTTGAGTTTTTAATTTGAATTGAGATGTGACTTTATGTGAGAATTTTTAACTGTAGCAAAAAAGTTAAATGTGACTTTTTATGAGATATTTTCTATACTCAAATTGGTGAAAGCCCCGTTCATTTCACTGATTCAAGTTTAGAATTCGAGTTTTGTTACAGTAAAAAGCTCTAAAAAAACAGTCACATCTAATTTTTTTATAATAGTAAAAAACTCTTATATAAAATCACATCTCAAATAAAATTAACAAATTAAACAGGCCTGAAATAAACGAGGCTTAAAGGTGTATCTTAGATCTTGAACATAACTACAGTATACGTCCAACATCTTTCTTAAATTTTAGTTGTTTTTATTAAGTGAAATCTATCAGTAAAAAATTTCAACGATTCAATAGTATTTTTTTAAAATTATTGTTGTATAAAAAAAAATAAAAAAACCTTTTACACAATACGATTATTTAAGTCATTTAACACTAAGTCGTATAGTAGGGGTATGATATAATATTGAGTACTTCTTAGATTTCACTTATCGCTGTCAAAAGAGAGATTTCTTGACATGATACCAAAAAAAAACAAAACAAAACAAAAAACTCCTTATCAGTATGAAACAACTTTTAATCATCAGTTTTCGTAAACTCTCCTTAAACAGAGACGTAAAAACCTATCCTCCAACTTTCAATTTCGATCAAGGTAAATCAAAAGAGTATTTTTTATGGCAAGAACTTTCCTTTTTCACTACTAGCAGATATTGCTAATTCAGTCATTTGATTGATTTTTTCAAAGATTTTATTAATAAATGTTCACGTTAAAATTTCACGTTGTGCGACAAAAAGTATTAAACACCGTTAAAAACTTGATTCAACAATTAAAACAATAAGGTTTACTGATAGAATAAAAGGATAGTTGTTACCGTAGAAATTCTCATATAAGAATTATGAGAAGTCATGCATCTTCTTTTCATCGTCAATACTAATGACCATGCGTCAAACCCACCGAGTAAGAGAACGTTTGAACTTGTCAGATCTTGGCCACTTTGCTGATGAATTGTTTTTGTGCTTTTTCGTCGCTTCTTTCATTTTTCTTAGGAATTTATGTTCAATTAAGTACTCATAACTAGTCATCATCCGTGTCTTATTAAAAACACAGAAAAACCCGAGAGATTAGTAAATATATTGGCATGGTCTTCCTAATTTTCTCGGTGTCAACCGATATGAAAAAAGAAAAATCAAAGGAATAAGATTTATGAGAAAAAAAAAAAAGTTTTTCATATAAACTATTACAGTCTATATATGTATATATATATATATATGTAGCTTCATTATAATTTATAACAAAAGAATATTATACAGATTCTGTATGAATGCTTCAGGAACAATTATTTTTATATGTAGAGAGCCAAATAGATGAATATTAGAACATATATATCTGCTTTAAAATTGAAGTTATCGGCTGCTAACAATCAACATTGTTGCAAATTGCTAACTTTGTAGATGTCGATTTCTTTTAAAATAATAATAAAAAAAAGAAACGAAAATAAAAGTCACTTTTGAAAATAAAACTAGACGCCACTAAAAGCGATCGAGATGTATCATGTCTACGTCTCTATTCTCTGCGGGACCAATTGCTGAGAAATCATCGTAACTAATGGCTAGGGAAAAAAGAAAAAGAAAATAAAAATATACTTAACGTCAACTCAAAGCAGGATACTGTTCTGCGCCTCTTTTTAATTATTATCTCGTAGGACCCATATTTACAAATCTTTTGACAGAAAATATATTATAACATAAGACATATGTGTATATACACAAATTATGTATATAAAAATCAATTACTGCTAGAATCGGATTTTTCTTCCCAAATGAAACCGTAAGAAAACAAAGTAGTACTTCTGAGAAAATTATGTATATAACAAATGTCTATACATAAATTATGTAAATATTAATTAAACCACTTGATTTGGAGAGTTTTTGATAGAGTAGTTGTTTATTTTAGTTTGAATTCTAATTGGATAATTTAGAGAGTAATTAATTGCATTTCATAGAGATTCCTACAGTATTAGGCGTGTGACAATTGTGATCTCCATTACATGTGTGTTTTAAAATTTAAATTAAATAATAACATTATTTAATATTCAATTAATTACTTATAAGTGTTTTATTAAGAATTTTATAATTCTAAAATTCTCATTTTGCCCCTAGTGTCTTATAGAATTACAACGATGACGCGAAAACTCATGGACTTATAATTCCGAGTTTCACTAAATTAATAATTAATTAATTAATTAATTCTATTAGTTCTAAAAGTTATTCCACTATAAATTTGGAATTGCACTCTCGTAATTATAGATATAATGTATTTCTAAACAATGAAGTGTCCATTTAATATAGTCATTACATGTAGATCAATCATTCATAAGTAATTCATAATTAGAGCTAAGTGAAATCCGTTAACCTCTCTAATTACATATTTATCGTTGAGTGTCATTGATTCTCTAATGGGTAGTGATTCATAAAATAAATTCATGAATCAAAGCTTCTACTAATCCAAATACCGAATCAACCCTTAAGAGAATTATTTATCTGCTTCTTTTTCAATAAGGAATGGATTCCATCTCATGTATTAATATTCTCAGCTATCTACTTCATCATGTCTCCAAGATACAAGGAATATGATTTAGCAATCTCAAAATCCATACCGAGTAAGTCAAAAGACATAAATCCACAAATAGGAGTATGCTAATAACTAATGTGTAATATCATTCTATATATGACCATCGGTAGACTCAATTAGAATTTCTATACTTAACGGAAATTATTAGTAATTCATATTGTATCTGTGTCTCGGTTCTACATAATCTCATTATGCGTGATACACTCATTCAATATCTCGTCATATTAACGGTGCGGATAACACCGTTCTATTCTAAATGGGAATAACACGTATTAGCAATATTTTAATTAAAGATTATGAACTTTAATTAAATTCATTACAAACATTGTTTTGATTATAATTCTTAAATGTTATCCTCTCGCATATAACACTTGTATACAATATTTAAGGCCACATAAATAATCAAAAAAATTTCAATTATATTCATAAAATATTAAATAATATATGCACATAAAATAATGAATAAACGCTTTTATTAAATAAATAACAAATATTTTATTACAACTCATGTTTTTAGGACATCATTCTCAACATATTATTGTCAGCCAATTTTATAGAGTACTAGGGATTGATTTTGAGGAGTTCAATATCGAAACTTCAAAGAGGCGTCAATGGCGGTGGGTTTGAAATTTTGCGGCA